AAAAAACGTTTCCATGCAGACCATGAACTCAGGCCGGGGCGGTATTGACGAAGCATAAGATCTGCCGATGCCGTGCATCTCCGGCATCTCGGGGGCGACAAACGTGGGCGTCTCAACCTGGCAAAAGATTATGCCCAGTTTTTAAGCATGTTGCATGACCCAAACGACTGGGAAAGACCGCAGCAGCTGCTGCAGCTTGTATGCCCCCAGCCCCTGGCCTCACTGCAAAGGCACGTCATTAAAAACACATGTTACATGTCTAATGAAATGTGAACACAAAATTAAAAATATCATTGCGTCGCGGCTGGGTGGCCGACCAAGGATCCAAAAAGGAATGCATGCACCCAAGTTTCGCCGGGATGGCAACTTGTCCAATGGTGAGGAAGTTTGAGCCTATGGCTCACCACTGGGTCACCGGGCATTTTCATGGCCCACTCAATTGAATGTCCTTGTTTCAGTTTGCGTGTGTGGGGGCTGAGTTTGAAATAGGGTTGCGAATATATTTCTCGATATTTTTTCGTATTTTTAATTGAATTTTTTTGTTTTTCGTGTTTCGTGGCAGGCGCAGTTCTTTGCGGACCTTGCAAAGCACATTTTGTGGCAGGTGCAGTACTTTGTGGGCCTTGGAGTGTAGAGTTTGTGGCAGGCGCAGGACTTTTTGTTGTCCTTGAAGTGCAGATTTCGTGGCAGGTGCAGTACTTTGTGGCCCTTGGAGTGCAGATTTTGTGGCAGGCGCGGGACTTTGTGGACCTTGAAGTGCAGATTTCGTGGCAGATGCAGGACTTTGTGCGTGTGGAAGTGTAGAGTTGGTGGCAGGTGCAGGACTTTGTGGACCTTGAAGTGCAGATTTCGTGGCGGGCGAAGTGCTTTGTGGATGTTGAACTGCAGAAAGATAGAAAGATAAATTGATAAATAGATAGGTTAGATTAGATTAGATTAGATTAGGTTAGGTTAGATTAAATTAGGTTAGGTAAGATAGATAGATAGATAGGGGAGGCATATTTGCTTGGTTAGAAAGTTTTGCACCGGGGAGTTCACCTTAAAATATTGGTTTCGTGGCAGGCGCGGGTGTTGGGGATGAAGTGCAGATTTCGTGGCGCGGGGAGGGGGTTGGCACACCAGATGCTTGCTTGCTTGCTTGCTTCCTTGTTTGGTTTCGTCTCTGCAACGAAAACAACAGGAAAAGCAAATACAAAAAGAGAAAGGAGAACAGCTGCCAAAAGAAAGAAAGAAAGATAGATAGATAAGATAAATAGATAGGTATAGACAGATAGATGGATAGGCCAAAAAGCCAAAAGCCACAAAAGCCAAAAGCCACAGAAGCCACGAAAGCCACGAAAGCCAAAAGCCACAAAAGCCAGAAGCCACAGAAGCCAAAAGCCACAAAAGCCAGAAGCCACAGAAACCAGAAGCCAGAAGCCACGAAAAACAAAAAAAAACAAAAAAAATAACAAAAAATATTCCAAAAATAAATACCCCTCCGTTTGAAATGCTTACTCCCTGTGGCGCTGAACGCGTGGACGTTTTGCGGTGCATGATACGGAGCATGGATGACTCGGAGGGTGTCGGCCCAAGAAGCCATAAGCACGGCGATTGCCGCAACGGGGGCTGGCGCAATACAACAGGAGCAGCCACGAGGCTTGCAAACCCTCGCGGGGATTCGGTTCAAGAGCTGATCATGTTGGGTCAATTGTTGATGTTGGTATTGGGCCGTGCCGAGTGGGGTGCCAAATATCGTCAAACCGCGCTCAACTGCTGGTAGGCGGGGGTTGCCCAGCCAAACGTTGGGGCCGAGGCTGCTGATTTGGGGGCCCTGGATTTGCCGGTGTTGAGGGCGATGTGTGTGCGCGAGCATGTCATGCACTGGGCGGGCTCAGTCTGGGGAGACAAGGGCGTAGACGTGGTCGAGGAAAGCGAGCCCTTCGTGAAAGCATTGCTGAACATCTTGCGGGTCGGTTGACGCGGGTGCTTCCGCCGGTGCCGGGTAAGGGGCTGGTGGACGCCGGGCCGGATCGCGCAATTCTTGGAGCGTTGTTTCCGAGGCGGTGAAGGCCTGTCGTGCCGCGGACAACTTCCTTTGGTGGACCAATTGGCGTGCCCGTCAAGTTTGCTGCTTTGGGTTGGGGTGGAGCTCTGGTGTGGTATACTGCGTGGGTTTGGAAGCCCGCGCTGCTGTGGCCAGTTTCGAATGCTGCGATGCGGGCATGCCACGCTGAAAGCAGTAACAAAAGTTTCCATGCAACGCTTTCACCCAGCGCGCAAACAAGCATATGACGGTGTTGGGTCTCCAGAAAATCACGTGACCGGGAATCACGAAAGGTAGAGGTACAGGTTTGTAGTTATATACGAGAGGTGCTGTTTCGAGAGTGGTGTGTCAGAGGAAGGTCGGAAAGGGGGTTTGCTACAACGTGTGGTAAGCTTGTCAACACTGGTGTATGTGAAAACCGTGGTGACCGTGGTGTCTAATAATTGGTGGGTCCCAAACCACGCGTCACGCGCGCGCTCCACGTCAGAACCACTTGGGCCTGGAGGAGGGGTTGCTCAGAGCATGTGGTGTGGTGAGGTTTGTCAACACGGCTTTGCGTAAAGGCTGTGTTGCGTCAACGCTCGTTTGTGCAGAGCAATATGGTGTGTGAAAGCTGGTTGCGTGTCAACGAGGGCACGTGTAAGAGCTGCACGCATTGCATCAAAGCCGTGCTTCGCAACCTCATAGCGGCAGCGGCTACTGCCAGTGAATGGACGTCACGCTAGCAGGTGGGTGATGATAGTCTTGCCGGCAAGGGTGGAGGGGAGGTCACCAAAATAGTTGAGTAGTCAATTATTGATACCTGCGGGTGCTGAGGACCTGGCACAAATCCTAGGGAAATCCGATTCGCGAGATTTATGCAGTCCTGTAGTCGCGGCTCATGTTTCCATCTTAGATTCTCTAAAATCCTGTCGTAAGAACATTAAGATCCCCAAGGACACAGCCCTAGATTTTGGCGTCATTCCGCAGTGAATTCCGAAGACGGGCACTGTGGAACGTTCTGACTTTCGACCGTTTCTCGTGCGAATAGCCGGGGCCCATTGACTTTTCCTGGGTCTGGTTTGGTGCACGGCCCTGAATCTCCAAGTCTTTTTAAATTGAAACCCAGGGACCCTCCACTAGGAATTTGGAATATATTTTTTTGTATAAACATGTTTTTAATGTTTTTGTTTGTTCCTAACTTCTTTTCGGCCGCGGCTCAAGGCTCTGAAGTTGCTGCTGTGGCGGACGGTTTTTATACTGGCGGGGCTCCAGATGTGCAGAGCCGAAAGTCCAGAAGAATTAGGTGGGGGCGGGGGAGAGGCGACTGGGACAAGGGGGCGGGGCTGCTGCTTGTGCAAGAAGTTCACTGGGGAGGGGGGTCGGGCCATCCACGTTGTGGTGGTGGTTGAGGCCTCGGCTGGGCAGTGCTGACCATCGGGTGATGAGGGCCGCCTGCATGGTTTTTTCAAAACATCCTGATGGGTGATAGTATAATGGCTATTGCAAACACGTATCAAATCCTCAATCCTAGGTTCATGTGCCATGCTAAGGGGACATTATGTTTCTAAATATATACGACGTCCAGGTCCAGGTACATGAAAAAAATAACGTCCACAAGGGTATAGTGTTCCAGCACATTGGGGGGGAGGGGGTGTCAATAGAACTGATATATCAATATTTGATCCCGAGCGGGCTAATCAATCTGCTTCGCAAAGAGAAATCAAGAGCCCTTTGGCAGGCTACCCTTCCTGATGGGCATGATGTGCACGTCTGACTTCTTCATCCCCTGGTGGCCGTGCATGGGCCCACGCCCGAGTGCGAGCGGCAACGGGAGGCACCGCCGAAGAAACCATGTGACGCCGAAGGTTGGCAACCATCAAGCGGGGGTGGGAAACGCACCCAAGCGCATCGAGGAAACAAGCGGCAGCGGCCGGTTGGAAAGAGGTGCGGCCGCCTTGTCTTCGAGAAAGCACTCGTGGATGCATCGTTCGGTAGCCTTGGGGCACCGGCTACGGACCACAGACAGCGGAAGCGGTCCGGGCTGCGGTCATGCCAGTTACACAGCCAAAAGATTTTTTGCGACTGCCAGCTGCCTGTAAGGCATAACAAGGTCAGGCTCAGGGTCGAGTCAGGGTTCCAAAAAAAACCGAGGCCCACCAGCATCAGAGAGGCGAAACGGTGTGGACAGACTCCACCCACGGTGGGCTCAAGACAACTTCCCTAAGTGGGCAGGGCCGAGGCTACCCAGGTCACCATCTTTGTGATAGATGGTGGGCAGGCGCCCTTCGGGGAGGTGTCAAGAAAGGCCCAAAGAAAACTCGTTTGGGAGAACTTGGCAGTCATTGGGCCAGTATCAGGTAGAGCACCGTGTTGACCCAATACCCTCCAATCGGCGGTCGCCCAACCATATGCCAACCCAGCCGGGCATGGACGTTCGGTGCATGACTGGCAGGCTATCCGCCCACGATGCCTTGAACGCAACAGAATGGCCTTTTGTGGATCCATTGTTACTTCTGTACCCCTGCCGAAGGGGCACTGCGGCACGCCAGCGCTAGTGTGGCACACAACATGATTAGTCGGCGCTCACCACTGGCAGGGTCCATCCATATACCAAGCTACGGCAAAGCATAGGATTTGAAACGACATGTGACATGTTCTTCCGGTGGTGGCACTGCACACATTAAACAATAACATGTCCTACAACGGGGTCCGTCCATACTGACCCCGCATCACAATGATTTTTCGGGCCCATTACCTCTGAGAAAATGAACTTGCATCTTTGTAATGTGCCAAATGCAAATGTTGGAAAACGATGGAAAACGGTCCATAGCGGTGACCACTCTCGTCGGAGGTAACTGTCCGAGGAGCTACAATTGCACCCTCCCCTTTCAAGGAACAACAACCCACTGCGGGCATCTGCAGGCCCGATTTAAAAAAGTAAATTTCTAATAGCGAATGTCAACCCCACTTCTTTCATTTTACCCCCCGAGAATTGAACATCTAGTTTTTTAACCCACCGCAGCATGTCAAGCCGAAACGTGTCAGCGAAAACCACTGCGAACCGGATGAAGGTGGTTTCAACGACGCGCTCTGGACATCTCCATTTTTCAACCGCGAACATTGGGAACCTGGAAGGGCCGAACAGTCCACTGACATAGATGTCCTGCACAAGTGTCATGTTTTGCCATTTTAGGGATCTTGCACGTCGTCCCAGTGCTGTTGTCACTCAGGTTGTTCAAAGGTTGTCCCTGCTCCTGGCCATCTTCAAAGTCTACGGTCTAGCCTGATATGTGAAAGGCCCTAGATCACAGATAAACTTGCTGGAGCACCACGCAGCATCTCTTTCCCAAAGACTTTCAGGATCACCCGATCACTGACAAGGTTTTATGCCAGCAAATTC